AGCTCCAGCACCACCTCCCCTACCACCTCCACGTCCACTTCGAGGGAACTCAACACGCAGGCGGTAGCCATCGTAGTCGTAACCATCACGTCCATAAACAGCATCTTCAGCATCCCTGCAAGGTGTCAGTGACACTCACTCTTTTCCTTAGGTGATAAAGTATGTTACATGTTATAATTTCACCTCAAATCCTACATACAGGCTTACAGTTTATGTACTAATGCAAAGATGTGTTACTGCAGGTAACTTTTCTAATTGTTGGTGAGAGGGGTCCCCGTTTTTGTTTTTAAGCTTGAACACCTGACCCCAAAATGTCTGTGCACAGCCCTGATTCATTGACTGTTTATTACCATTTACCAACAATGAAAGAACAATCTAATTATTTGGGGTCTCGCCCTCAAGGATTCAAAAGCTAAATTTAAATCTTCTTTAGTGTTTCATATAGGCCTATACTAACACCCAATATCAGCTTATCGCCTATGGCCTAATTGAACAAAACCCGGTGAGAACACGTCTGGGTTTAGCTCTGAAGTAAGAGAGCTAAGCCAAGGTTTTTCTCACCTCGGGTCCTCGAATTCAACGAAGGCAAAGGGCGGTCCTCCTCTTCGGGTTTTCAGGTCAATATCGCGGATGATTCCGTATTTATAAAACACGTCCTCGACGTCTTTGGTGCGGATGTCAGGAGGGAGATTTCCCACATAAATCCTACAGTCGTTACTCCCCGCTGGTCCTCGAACGACACCCCCGCCTGACATGTTAACACGGGCACAACACAAAGGCAACACAGCTAGCTAGCTAGCGACGACACAGAGAAGCAATGTTTCCACCTTGAACAACAAACTTTAGAAAACTATTTATGGCTGTAGGGATACTTAAATAACACTACATAAACTATATTTACATTAACATTGACCAGAACGGTTTGACATAGCTCGCCGCGTTTAAGAACACCTGACCCTCTAACGTCATCACGTTGTGTACGATGCACGTGTATCTACGTAAAAGTATGCTGTCAAATACTACACATTTTACATACCAAAAATATTTAGTCGGGCATATTAATTATGAGGACTTTCTTGATCTAAACTCTTCACAATTACATATAAAAAAATATCGAATACTGCAGTTAATGAAATTTCACTTTGAACAGGAAGAACTGCAAAAATGAGTTTGCTTTAAAAGGGCCAGACATAAAGTGACTCAATAGTATCAAAATATAAGGAATTACCTGTACCTCTACAGTAAAAGAAAATCACACTTGTGTGTAACTCCAGTTCTTATTACATTCAGCCCTACCCCAAAAAACTAATAAACTAATTCTTCCATACTAACTTGTTATCCCTAACAAATGAAAAGAAACACAACAAACTTAAAATTTATAATCCACAAGCTCTTACAATTCAAATTTTGCAGATATTTCTTTAAGAAAAGCCTTGTGAATGCCAATTTAAAATTTGAATCAGAATCAGAATCTACTTTATTGGCCAAGTGTGTCGGACACACGAAGAATTTGACTCTGGTACGTTGGCTCTCGGTGTGTATTACATATCCCCATGCAAGGGGGAAGTAAACAGTAAACCATCATAAGGCTGTGTATTATAACAAAATAAGCAGTATTAACAAGCAACAAACAGTCCAAACAATGCAAAATAAGCAGTATAAACAGTCAGTAAACAATGCAGACAGATAAGCAATACTCATTGTGAAATGGGATAAGTAGGAATAAAAATAGAGTACTTAACACTAGAGACCTGTACAAATCTTTATAATGTATATTTACAGGTATTGCACTGAGTGTTATTGACCAGTCATACTGTTGTTGGTTAAGTGTTCATCAGGGTGACAGCCTGGGGGAAGAAACTGTCCCTGTGCCTGGTTGTCTTGATGCAGAGTGACCTGTAACGTCGTCCAGAGGGGAGGAGTTCAAACAGATTGTGTCCAGGGTGTGAGGGGTCTGCAGTGATCCTCTCCACCCTCCTTTTGACCCATGAGGTGTACAGGTCCTCCATGGAGGGCAGGCTCACACCAATGACCTTTTCTGCAGTCCTGACTGTCCGCTGAAGTCTGTACTTGTCCTGTTTGGTTGCTGAGCCAAGCCAGACAGTGATGGAGGTGCAGAGAACAGACTCGATGATTCCTCTGTAGAACTGATCCATATTAGGTATTGCTTTCTGTTTCACTAATAAAACTGTCCTGCCTGTGTGTGTGTGTGTGTGTGTGTGTGTGTGTGTGTGTGTGTGTGTGTGCGCATAATGTTCCTAGATCTAATCTGTCTCACTAACCTTGGAGTCCCAGTGAACCTTAACTCCCCTGGCTCCACTAGCCCGATGGTGATAATAAATTCACTGTGAACTCTCTTAGCCAGAGCTGTAAATCGAATGAGATTCAGTAATACCCTATAATGTTGAACAGTGGTTCAGTGACTAACACAGTAAATACTAACCAGTGGTTCAATGAACACATAAGGTGATATGTAACTATGTAAACATAACTGTGACATATAAGTATGTAAACTTATGTATTCTAAAATAAAATCTTAACTATTCCTTTTCTAATATGATAGAATAGTCATACACAAACAAAGTGAACACACAGGTTAAATAAGCAACAATCATGGTGTCAATCTTCTACTAAATAAGTACTTAATTCAATCAAATGTTACAACTAATCCTAGAGTATAACTTTGTTAATAATTTTACTTCACACCAATAAACCTTCAGTTGTTTTGGAATGTGTGCACTTCGTCCACAAACCTTCCTTTTTATTAACTAGTATTTGTTTATTGCTAAACAGTATAATTTTTCTTTTTCTCTTCTCCACAGTTCACCATACATTCTATGTGTCACTAATGTTTGGCATTTATTCAGAGTTTTTGTACTTTACTATAGTACATCTTATTTTGTTTAGATTTCCTCAGTTCTAATAGCATGAAATAGATGTGCAACTGAAGTTGTCTTGTTTCCCTTATATGTGACTGTGTTTTAAAAAATATTTTAAAGATTTTGATGTTACTGATCCCATCTACATCACTTTCAGGTTTAAGTCTGGGAGTCAGTCTGGGAGATGAGTCATAGAAATTCCTGAGTGGAAATTCAAAGCAAACAAATACCTGTAGCTCTGCCCTTATGTCTAAAATAGTGTAGTTTTTAAGATGGCATAAAAACAGTCATACTGTCCACCGTTTTGGTTCAAGCAATCAGTGTGTCACTGTCAAAAATTCTTAAGACAGGATATAAAAGTCATGGAATGAAACTATATTTTACTCAAACACTGTACTTGAGCAGTTTTGAGCTACCTGTACTTTGACTGTTTCCATTCAATTTTACAGTTTTTACCTGTTGCTATTTGCATATTAAACTAGAGAGTGATATATAAAGCAGTTAGTCCCTCAGAAACGACTGGAATTACATAGAGGTTAAACATGTAAATGTAAGGTGTATATAGGTGTTGCGTGTTTCTGTGCAAAATTCTTTGTGGCATTAAAAGAACAAACAAACATTTACCTGTGTAATTGAAATTTTTATTAAAAGAGAATAAAGCTTCCAGACATGCCATCCTGCTCCAGAAAATACTGACAAGAAAGGAAAAAAAAAAAAAAAAAAAGACACAAATCATATCAAGATCATATTCCCTTGTTGACTTCCAGTCCTCCCACTGCACCTCCCGCCCCACCTCTGTTAATGTTGCCCACTATTTACCACTCTCCTTACGTGCGTGGATCCATCCTGCACCTCCCAGCCCTCCTCCTGGTTTTGATCCAAGCTTTGCTCTTCTCAATCATAATTTAAAAAAATACAAGTCTGAAAAATAACTGCTCATCACGGTGCCGTCAGTAATTGTGTCTCTGTGGTCTCAAACAAAATGGAAAAAGTAATTTAGATTATTTGAATGCCAATTTAGTTTGAATATTTTACTACAATGTTTCCGGTTTGATGGGGTTATCTGGACAGGGCCAGGATCCTCTCCCGGTAAAATGCTCTCATGCTCCTGCTCCATGTATCCATCCTGAAGCCTAATCCTAATCTGATCCTGATTCCTGATCCGGCTCCGGATTGGGGAGACAATGAGCCCAGTCCAAACCTTCAGATACCAGCAGAACCAAAGAGAAGGAGGCAAGTTAGAATCACACCTTCACAAATGTTTTGAAAATGTCAATAAAAATGCATCTGAGGGAGTTTACTCTGAATAAAACAAGCGACACCTTCTATGACAAATCCCAAAAAAAATAGGATTTACTTTGGATACCAAGAGAGAAGAAAAAGCAAAGAAGCACAAGCTTTGGGACTCCAAATACAAAGTGATGCACAACTTACTTCTGAAAACATTCAACAGCGGCACTATATTGTCAAGTGTGCTTAAAAAAAATTGAATAGCCTTATAATGCAGATTTCACAGTTGACAAGGCACAGCCATCATACCATTGGTGCCATATTTGATTCCTCCTCCTCCTGTTTATCTTAATATGAACTGTTTCCTCTGTTCCCATCCTATCCTGCTCCTCTGAACTCTACAGAGAGACACACAAGAAGGTCAAAGAACAGTAGTATATGCTTAGAAGGAGTAAAGCTTTACAAACCAAACCGAACATAAAGCATACAACAAGGCCAACCGGTAGAAGAAAGGTACAGAGAGGAGAAAAAGGAAATAGGAAAGAATGACAGATCAAGACAGAATGAAGTCCATGTACACAAACCAGACTTTTCATCTGGTCTGCAAAAATCAAAACAAAGGGAAAAAAAAGTATATAAAATAAAAAATTTTTTTTTATAAAAAATGGTTGAAAAGGAACATGACAGGGCAAACAGGTAACACATGGAGTGACTTTCTAAGTGATATGAAGACTTCCTCTATGGCTGAGAGATGCAACATTGCTTTAGTTAAGGTCAGGTGAATCTAGGTGCGAGAGCGAGATCGGGAACGTCGGGGTGAGTAACGTGGAGACCCTCGGCTCCGACGAGGGGAGTAGCTGCGAGACCCGCTCTTGCTCCGGCTTCGACTGCGGCTACGAGAGGGAGAACGACCATAGCTGGGGCTACGAGGACCATCCATCTTCACACGAATGTAGGCCGTCTCTCCCTAAACACACACAAACACACGTTTATGCTTAACTGAGCAGTCATTTCCATAACTACATGAGACTTCAGTAGACAGAAAGAGAAAATTCCTGCAGTTACATTCAAACTGAATATTATTTTTTACTTACTGCCCAGTCATTTTCACTCTCACTCCTGCTTTCTGTTTCAAGAAAGTGTTTAAAAAAACTGTAGTACCAGAGCATTCCTTATGAATTTAGCCCAGGAATGTAACCCTAACCTACCTCATGAGAGCGAAACTTGGTGTTATCCAATTTACGGACAGCGTAGGTCATGTCTTCTTTGCGTACAAACTCCACTACCCCGGTGCCATCACGGTACACATCAGCATAACATACATCACCTGCCTCTCGCATGTGATCCTTCAGGTCCTGCCAGCTTCCACTGGAAGGAAGACCTGACAGGAAAAGGTGGTGTAAGGTTCAAACATTTATCTCTATACAAAAAAATACAGGCACAACTTGCAGAGAGAAGAACATGTCACCCACCTGACACAACAACCCTGTATTCTGAACGCCGGGATGGGGGACCATACCTTCCCCTTGGGGGTCCCATTCCTCCTCCTCCTCCTCCTCCTCCTCGTAAACAGCATCCTCAGCATCCCTGTGAAAACCGACAGTTAATATTCAGCTATATAAACGTACACAGCTGAGTAGTAAAGAAGACATCAGTTAAGCTGTTTGTTTTGTTGGGAGTATGTTGTTTTACAATGATAAAACCGGGGGGAAAAACGCACCATGATTAATTAGTGTATACCCTGATGAAGTAAATGTGGGGTGGGAATCACCCACTTTTTGAGTTATGAAAATAAAAAATATAAAACAAATTTGAAAACCCTAACCCTTGAAAAACTAACTTACATCCTCTAACTGGACTAACTTGGACTGAGTTAACATCTCTCTTACAACAGTATAACCTTCATAAAACCAGGATTTAGTGCAGTTTGTATCTAATAAACTAGTAACTAACTGAATGTGCCTATTTATGCTGTGTAGCATTATCTTATGAAAACAATTACGGGTGCAGCATTAGCCAACTACATAAAGATGTCGTGGCGGAGCACCGCAGCTCACCTTGGGTCCTCGAATTGCACGAAGGCAAACGGCGGCCCTCCTCTTCGGTTTTTCAAATCAATATCACGAATAGATCCATACTTGTAAAACAAGTCTTCCACGTCCTTTGAGCGGATGTCAGGAGGGAGATTTCCCACGTATATTCGACAGTCGTTACTTCCTGCGGGTCCCCGAATGATACCTCCACCAGACATGATAGCACAAAACTAGCAAGCGTTAATGTTAACAGTAGCGAAGAAGTTAGCAAGGTGCCTAACAGGTATCCTCCTGATAAACAAACGACAAAAGACGCGTAGATAGTTAAGGGAATATAAAAAAATACCCGTTATTTCTTAATAGTAATGAAAGATGATATCACAAAGTGGATGTCAAAACAATTAGATTAGCAGCTATAGCTACACGCGCCTATCTAACAAAGCATTCTTCTTCACTCTTGTCGTCGTCGTCGTCTTCGTCTTCTTCTTCTTCTTCTTCTTCCGCTCTTGTCTTAATGGCGGGTCGCAAACCAGTGGAATTAAATACATGCCGCCACCTACTGCACTGAATTGTGTCACATCAGGGTTTTATGTAAATCGGTTTAAAAAATTACTACGGTGTATCATACTGTCTAATCACGTATCTTTGAAAAAAGTAATAGAGCATTGCAGCATTCCCACATTTAATGATTCCAGTGATGTGATATGCACTCACCGGCCACTTTATTAGCTACACCTGTAGAATTGTATGCACCTCAATGAAACACTTCAGCCCATCAAGCTCAAAATGTTTCAGTTTTACGTGAAATTGTCATAAATTCAATATTATATTTATTATTGAGGTCATAGTTAAAGATTGTGTTATACAGGACTACATTATATTCAGAGGAACACCTCTGAATATAGCTACAATTTTACCAGCTGGAGGATTAAATGTGAAGTACACATTCATACATAAATAATTATAACTGAATAATACGATGCATGCCAATGTAAATTGCGCTATTTTGCATAATGAGTACTCTTACTTTTGGTACTTTATATTTTATGCTAATACGTTTAGCATAACAGAAGAATAAGATTTTATGCTACTATTTTATACTTTTACTTAAGTAACATTTTGAATGGAAGACCTTTAGTTGTAACACCATGTTTTTAAACTTTGGTATTGCTACTTTTACTTTTTACTGTAAATAACCAGACTCCTTCTCCCCCCCCTACACACAATTACCCCTGCCGGGTTGTATTCAGCAGACAAAAATAAAAATCAGAGCATCTACAACTCCACAGCTAAGCAAACTCCATCTGCCCATGAAACTTATGTAAAAAACAGAAGCATCCAATGAAAGTAAATATTATTTTATTAACTATTATTTTCAAGATCATGAAAAAGCTTTATGCTCAACTTGAATACATTTGTGCAAGTTAAGACCAGAAGGTTCCTGAACCTTTTCTGGTGAGGATCCCCTTTTGTGTGTAGAAAATATTTTTTGGTGCAGGGGGTTTGCCACCCAGTTTGGAACCATTGCTTTAGACAAAATTGTCTCCCAAATTTATGCCACAGATATATACAATCATATTTTTTATTTCTTTGCAAAGACACCAGTTGCAAAAACTCAAAATGTGAGTCAAAACCTAGTCTTTACTTGTTAATAACTTAGAAAATGAAATTCAAAGATAAAACTTGTACACATTTACAGCAATTCAAGTTTTCAACAGTACAGTGCCAGTAGTGACAGTCCCAACAATCATTCATTAAAATCCTATGGTAAACACAATTCCTCACATGAAACAATCATGGCAGATTTGTAAATACCAAACCTCAAGGCTGCAAATGAGCCTTTTCTTCATGCCACCAACAAAACAATTTGTTCATAACATGTTATTTGTCAGACCTTGTATTCAGCACATCTTTTTCTCATTCCTTTTTGGCGTGCTTTTCCCTGTGTTTCTGTCTAGCCTCAGACAATATTTTGAGCAGTGACAGCAAAATAGGTACACACATAGGTAGGAAGATCGGTATGTAGATAGCAAACTTCTGGTCATCAGGGAAGTAGAGGAGGTGGAGAAGTGAAGGGTCAAAAAACGCTCTCTCCGACGCCAGGATGGCTTCTTTACTGTACTGCAAAGCAAAGCCAAGGTTTCCAGCTTCCAATTCAGCCACAGCTAGCTGCAGAGACGTGACAGCACTGGACACCTGAGAGACGGCAAGAACAATCCCAGGTTAGATGCAACTGATGAAACAAACAGTAGTAATCAACTACCCTAAAAATGGCAGTTTTATCAATCTAAAATTAAATCTACAACACAATAAATAATACTTTACAATGCAAAAGTTTGTTGACAGGAGTGTACACAATTAATTCTTTAATGCAGCTGGATGTGCATTGTACCTGCTGAGCAATGTTGTCATTGATAACTATGTTGCTAATCTGGTCAAGCAGCTGTGCCAGTGAGGTGATGGTGGTGGTTGCTGTGGCAACATTTTCCACACTCCGACTCCACATTAGGCGGTCCAGCTCCCAATCAGCGAGTCCTGTACTGCTGCACGGTGCCACCAGGAATCCAGGGGGAGGGGAAGATGACTGCACGCCCAGCAACAGTCTGACAGGACACGCTACAGGAAGGTTAACTTGTGTCTATGGGAAAATGAACGGTTGACATGTTGCAGGTGTCCACTCACCGAAGCTGTGCGAGGAAGACTCCCATGACTTTAGCCATGTTGATATTGATGTCAACAGGATACACAACCTCTGACCCATAGAAACCATTAACATTATAAACCTATAAAACAAAGAATAAAATAATTTGGATTGAATGAGTACCCAACACAACATAATAGTGCAAAATCTCAATTCTGCATAGCTACTAACTTATTCATACCATGTGCACTTATCAGTGAGCCATAAACATTCAGCCATGGAGGGCTTAAGATTTTCTCACCATGATTCCACCCCAACGTGGAGAGTGAAACGCATTAGAAGGAACTTCCTGTTTTTTATGGTCATGAATGTAAAGGGGTGAATGGTGAGCATCTGGGATATACAGCAGGAAGTTCAATACCGGGTTGGAAGATGCAGCATTTGAGCCTTGAATTCAAATGTAAAAAAAAAAACTGTTTTACACCAGAAGAAGCTACAATATAATTCTCCTTTTGGCAAACACTCATTGGGGGTTTTCTTACCAAGTCTAGCCTCCACTGGGTTGATGACATGCGCAAGGCTGTCTACGTTGAGTGTGTAGGCACTGCGGCTGCTGTCAAAGCGTGGGTTCACACCAAGCATGGCGTAGTATAAAGTCTGTAAGGAGAATATGTACATTAACCTACAGCAGCTGAGCATCTTATCATGACATTGGTCCTGCACATGCACACACAGTACCTGAGAGTCAATGCTAAAGTTTGCCACAGGAGCCAGTTTTGTAAGCAAAGGTTGGATGTAGGTCTGCACAGCACCCTCTATGTCCCAGTGGACCCGGTGGGACTTTGGGTCTGGGTTCAACAGACTGAATGTTATCTCATAACCTGAAGAGAAAATAAGAATAAGCAAACAACAGAAGGAAAGTCTTTGCGGAATTAAAGTACATACTGATTGGAATAGAAATTTAGCTGGTCCACTTTATGTCTGCGCTGAAACAAATACCCACCTGGGCTGGATTTAAAGGCTCTCATACTGTCAGCGATGCCACCCTTGTTGCCAGGGATGAGACGGACTCTGTCACTGAGGGCAGCAGTGATGTCAGCGTGACTAAAAGACATCAGCTGCAGCACCTGCTTGAGCTGAGGCTCCAGGTGAGCCAGCAACTGCTCTAGTGTCCTTCCCACTCTCATCTGGGTACCGACACGCAAGAAGGCTGTCCGTCGCTGACCAATATACACATTCACATCCTGAGAAGCATGAAGGTACATGTCAGTATTGGTATCTTGTGTCCCAAGTCTGAAACCTGAGCAGAAGGTTCTCCATTTCAGACTGTCAGTCATTAGACTACCACAGTAATTCAGTGGAAATGCTACTCGACTCTTCAGAGATCCATGAAAGCATAAAGCTACATGCAGACTTTATTAGCCCTTTTAACATAAACACACTTACTCTGGAATGAAAATCAAAGGTATTAACTAACAGAAAAGAGCCAACAACAGCCAAATGGCCAGCTTTTATAGATATATAAGACATTTTGAGTTTTAACCTGAAGCAGCAGTGGTGATGACTCTGGGATCACATACACAACCAAAGAACCACAAGGACTCTCACTGAGAGTATGTAGAGACAGATCTGCCTCTAGTTAAGAAAAACAAGAGAAACAGAGAGAATTTACTACCTGTGGTGTCACTGAGAAAACAAAATGTTTGCTGACAGTATCTCACCTGCAGCGGTGGGCTGGTTCAGGGCATCCTCTTCCATGATTGTAGCTGTGCGGTACCTTGTCTCGTACCTGTACCACAAAGCTGTTTTCTCTGAAAACAACAAGTATTTAGGGCAGTTATTCTACATTCTTCCTATTTTGTAATAGTAAGAGAACAGGCAGCATTAATAAAGCACCATCTACTATGTGTTCCTCATCCTGACTCAGTGTCAGCGGAACCTTCTTCTGCTGCTCTGGTGTCACAGTTCCACGGGCAAACACAACCTCCACATCAGCACTCAACTGTAGCTGCAAAAAAAAAGAAGAAGAAGAAATAAGGAGAGGGACATGTTGACATATGTATCACACAAAAAAAGATAAGTGAACCACAATTAATGGAAGCAAAGACAAACCTGCAGCTTAGCCAACTCTTTTATCTGACTGACAGGCAACCAGGCACGGTATGTTTCAGTTGTGCGCCACCACAGGGGGACTCCTACGATGATGACCACTGCTGCTATGGACAGAGCAGCAAGCTGGCCTCGTCTACGCTCTGAGACACACACAAACACAGACATACAGATAAGTATTAGAGTTATCACTTAGATGTAAGGGCTGCAACTTACAATTTTCATTAATGATTAATATAATAATTATTTTCTTGATTAATCATTTATGCTATAAAAGAAGACCACATCTTCCCAAAGACCAACATGATGTTAAACAGCTTGTTTTGCTCAGCCAACATACTAAAACCTAAACATAACTGTTTTACATCCCAAACTTACAAAGACAAATGGTAAATCCTAATATTTTAGAAGCTGGAAACAGATATTTTATTAAACCATTTATACCGTGTTTGTTGTCCCTGTTATATCTCTGGTTGTAGTAGCTCATCAAATGCAAAGCGAAGTTCAAGACTGGTTTTATAGCAGTAATGGATTTTTAAATGTTTCTGTCCAATGTGATAAAAATATTGATTTGTCACTAGAAAAAATCCTATCAGTATTTTACACAGACCGTGTGTCAAACCCACATATTGATATCACAATAGATAAGTATTTATACCATAGTTTTATCTAAAATAATCTACCCCTACGAGTTCAACACGACACCTTACTGACACCAGCATATATAGTCTTACAAATAAAACATGATCTGACCTACATACAGTAAATGGCTGCGAAACCTATTTAATTTTAAAGCTAGAATAACAAAATAAAAGAATATCGAGGGTTTAGTTCTGATTGAGAATTTAGAAACCCTAATAGCTGCGACTGTAATTAACAGTACTTAACTAAGTGCAGAATAAAGGAGAGATGGTGAGAACAAAACATTTTTATGGAGACAGAAAAAAATCTGCATCAGCGCTTGCAGTGTCTTGACAGGGAGGCATTATTGCAGCAAATGCTAGTGCGGCTAAATTAGCTAGTTACCATTAGCAGTTAGCTCCAGAAACAGGGAGAAAACGGACACTTTCTGTTAGGATGGCTATGTCTGTTGTACGTGTTAAATACGCCAACAAACTGCTATGCACTGCTGTAAATGCTGCCTTTTTATAAGAAGCAACGACTTAATACAGAACACATTTCTGAATCTACTCACCCACTTCCGTGGTAGCCATTTCTGTCAATGGACTGAGCTGGGTGCGTTTGTTAATAAAACACGCTCAGTCGCTAAGTCACATGGCCGACGTTACAAACGAATGGGACGATTTATGTGAGTGTGAAAACAGCGTTGAGTCCTAATCCAGATACAAATGTATAGTTTCATGTAATGGAAATAAATATTGTAATATGCACCTGTCTGTCCACCCCAAAACCAAGAAGATAAATAGACTGAGATACAGTGAGCAGCTGACCGTCGTCATTCCGGGTGAAAATATTAAACGCACAAACACACCGTGAGACATTTCGTCAATCTTCACCTTGTGGTGAAGTCAATCTTTGCTGGCAAAATTAGCATGATTACCAATTAGCTCAAAATCCCAAATAAACCTTTTTATGTGGCTGTAAATACATGACTAACCAGAAAATGTACACACATAGGCCTACCTACTTTGTTTTACAGCCTAATACAAAACTGACTGCTACCTTCCTTGTGGTTGTTTTGTATCTTTTTGTAATTGTTTCACATCTGTTTATAATTGTCAATTTTTGCTTAGTATTACATTGAAGTCTTTTTTCAACTATTTTTACTAGTTTTGTCTCTTTTTTGCATCTCTTTGCAGTTGTTTGTATATATTTTTAAGCCATTTTCAATATTCTGGGTTTTTCCTGTCTCTTTGTAGTTTTTCATTTTGTAGCTTTTTGTTGTTGTGTGGTCGTTTGATTGACTTTCCAACAGAAAGGTTAACAGCACTTTCACAATTCTCTGGTCTAGGGGCCTTATGATGCTTTGGGCACCTGGGCCTGTGCCCGGTTCGCCCATTTGGTATCCATCCATGCCTGGAGAATGCCCAGTAGGCTAGTTTAAGGCCTTGCTCAATGGCACCTCATTAGTGGTAAATAAGGAAGAGCTTCTCATTCCCAAGCTTATCCTGCAACCTCTAATTTTTTTGTCCACCACTGCAAGATTTAAGTGAACACCTTTCAATAAATCTTTTTATAGGGTTACATGTTGAACAGATTATGCCTTTAACACATTTAAATCTGTTTCCACTTTACTTGACAAGTGAACATACATTGTATAACATGCTTTGAAACACTTCTATTCAGAAGAGGGTTTAAAAACTAGGCCACTAAAAGACTACAGTATAAAAAGCCATTTCAATCTGTGGTTGAAAGGGCTTAAAAATGTTTTTTGTCATGTTGAAATAGATTTGAGCTCAGTTTGTTTATAAACTCAATTGTTGCCATTCCATTTAAAGAAAAATAAAACTTGCATCATGTATGGAAGCAAAACAGCCTCATAATGATTGGAATCTATATCAGCATCTGAATAATAGGTTTTGAAATATTATACTTTGAATTCTATATTCTGAATGAATGCACTCTGAATTTTATGCAGTGAAATTACAAGTAGAGATTTTCAAGCTAGAAAAATACATAATTTTGATTTCAAACCACACCAATATTATTAAAATAATTCAAATATAAAAATGTACATGTCTAATTTTCAATTCAATGCGTTTATTTCAATAAGCACTATTCAGAACCAGAAAGTTCAATCAACTCACAATTCAGACTGTGGCATTCAGGTGCAGAAATTCAAAACAACATCCGGGACACTGGGCAGTAGCAATCGAGCGACAATGCCATCGATCGGATCCCTGGCCAATCGGGTAAACACAGGTCAGTCATGTGACTCTAGAGGCGAAAGTTTCCTGTAGTGCTGTGGCGCGAATACGAATGAACAATAAAGGAAAGTACAGAGGAGGGAAAGTTTTCACCTGTGATTTTCGAAGTGATGAAGGAGGAGGGCAGTGCGCCGGTACGTCATAACTGTCTTTAAAACGTTGTGTTAGGTATGAAAATTGCTTCCATAATCATGTGACTCACCACTAAAACCTTAATAAAGGTGTCATTACAACAAATTAAAGCGCTACAATAGACCTATGAGGCTATATAATGGAAGTACACGAGGGCCACTGCACAGGTTCAAAGGTCAGGCACAAATAAAAATAAAGGACAAAAGGAATTATTGAAGTAAATATCATGAGCACCAGAGAAATAATGCAACGCAAATGGTTCTTTGCTAGTTTTTAACCTAGTTTATTTTTCTCCGTTTGCCACACCAAGTGCTTTAAGAACAATATCAACATCACAAACATTACAGTACTCCAACACAGCAGTGAGTTTCCCCTGTTGCTAACCCCACACTTTGGTCCACCACTTTATGAGTATGTCAATCAAAACCAACTCCTCTTCCCATGGGGCAGGTTGGGGGAATCAGGAGGGGGATGACATGCAAGCATTACATAATATTGCCAACGTTATATAACTAAATAACAATTATTTTATGTAATTTAAAGTTAATGTTATACTTAGAACACACACATAAGATGCTTGTTTGATTACTGATGATTGGAAATGTGATGGCAGAAAGTTTTGGATGACTCCTGGTGTGTACTGGTTTGGTACAGTGTGTCTGACCTCTGCTGGAGCTACGCCTGTCTGAAAGTACAGTGTACATTCTACAGTTTTGGACAGTCTCTCAAAAGATCAAATCAATCTGAAAAGTCAACATTTTCACACTGCTCATCTTGTTCCTTAACAGATGTTCTAATGCCATGAATAATCGGTTGGTCCCACTGTCAAGGTGGATGTTAGTCTAGCAACACTATTTTCTGACAGAAGCAAAAGACCAACATGCATGCGCTGACCCGGCCTTCTCAGGAGCAGCTTAAGGTTTAGCATGTGGGAGAGCAAGGGAGAAAGCACCAGGTGCAGTTAGGAAGAGACATGAATTTAATACATACTACCTTGATCTACTGTAAAGTGTCTGCAGCCTCTAACCTCCTGTCTGAGTCCAATAACCATTAAAGACAGACAGAGATGAAATGACAGTCATCCTCTTCAGTCATAAATTGTCTCAAAACCATTTTGATTTGATTGCTCAGTTCTCTTGAGTATTGCTGTTCCATTTATATTTTAAATACACATATATCTAATAATGTAATTTTAATAGCGGACAACTCTGAACTACAGTAGACAGCGCAGGCGTGTGACAGATGGAGGAGTGAGGAGGAATAGCAGAGCAGATATAAGACTATAACTAGGCCACATTAGTATGTGGTAGTTTTGTGTTTAGTAGGCATGGTTAGCCACGTAGAGAGATTTTGATGCAGCACCACCGGTTCCACTTGACTCATACTTGCCCATTGCAGCCAGACCATTTGCCTGGAAAAGAGAAAAAGAAAAAAAAAAATCCTAATTATCAGCACTGCTCAAAAGGAACTTTGTTTCATTTTACTCTGTGAAGGTGTAGCTATATCTGATGTCCGTTCACAGGTTTGTCTGACCTCAGCACGTTTGATGAACTCCTCAGTGGCGGCTTTCTCATTGTTCAGCTCTCCTCTCCACGCGTTCAGGGCAGAGGCCTGCAGGGCGCGGCCATAGGAGAAGGTCAGGGCCCAGGGCTTTCTGAGTCTACAGTTGTTAATGGCATTAAGGTTTACAGTGGCCTCCTCTTCGGACTGGCCACCTGACAGGAAGGTCACTCCTAAGAAAATACAGAAGCAAACACATACCGAGTGATTTGATAGTCATTATATGTAAACTGCATGCAGTATTCAACTGGTACCCTTCACAGCATGTGAGCTAAACAGGCAAAATGGGGAATTTGTCTTTAGGCAAACAAAGTCAACACACAGACCATTCAGCAATAATAAATGAACAATTAATAAATACAGACTTGGATTTAAGTGACCCTGATTTTTCAGGGAAATAACACCACTAACTAGATTCTAACTCAAATAAGTGTCTGAATTTTGTCTCCGTTTTGTTTAAATTTACATCATTACCAGAAAATCACTTTTCACTATTCTGATTATAATGCATACAGTCATGTGAAAAAATTAGGACACCCTTTGAAAGCATGTGTATTTTGTAACATGTTTTAATATATGGTTATTTAATCTCAATTTTAACAATACAGAGAGATTAAAGTAATACAACTAAACAAGTAAAACTGAAGAAAAGTCTTTTCAAGATCTTCTGTAAATGTAATTCTACAAAAATGCCTATTCCAACTGAGGAAAAAGTTAGC